TTCACCTTCACAACAGCTCTGTAGAAGAAATTGTTCACCTCCATTTCACAGATGAAAACACTGAGGTGAAGGGTCAAACCATCCATCCCCAGGGAGAGGTTAATAAAGAAGTGTTTGCTTGTGGTGATGGGAAGCAGAAAGACAGATAATTTCTTTTTATTTGACATAGATGGGAAAGAACACAAGATATGTGAAAGCTCTGAAATATAAAAATTTATTTTCCTCCTCACACCGGATATCTCTGCCACAGTTAAGCCTATTTGCTGCTTCCCTTGGATGGATTCATCTAAGATAGTCACACTATCTTCCACAAGGGCTGCCTTGGAGAAAGTCTCAAGTGTTTGAAAAGTGCATGCATATTGTGGAGCAAGAAACATACCCCAAAATAGATTATTTAGTGGTTCTTATGGTATTTTTGGTCCCTTCTGGCAATTTCTGACCTGACCAATACAAAGAAGAGAAAGAGGAGACAGCATTAAAGAAAGGAGGGAGACAGCTGATACCAGTACATAGCTAAGAGATGACCACATATGTCTTAAAACCAAATCATCCCAGAATGTCACTCACTACAAGTCACAGAGCTGTCAAAGTTGGAAAACACAACATACTGAGAGGCATACACACACATGCACACATACACAGTACACAATATTACTTATTTGTTAAGATGCAATGATCCTCTAAATGCTTCTTGAATCATGTGGTGAATTTAATGGATCTGCACCAGTGCAGGAGAGTCTCAGCTAAATGGGAAGGGGTTAGCCAGGGACAGCTGGCTTCTACAGGAGGTCGGGGTCAAGATTGGCAGGGACAACTGCATGGCAGATGCAGCAGGGAGGAGTGTGGGGATATAGTACTGAAGGTGAAATAAGCTAGTTGTGCTCTGAGCAAAAGCAGACTGGCCTGGGTGTGAGAAACAGAAGGGCTTTAGAGTCAGAACCAGAGTTGAATTCTCTCTTCCAATAGCGCTTCCTGGTTATGTAACTTTGGACAAGTGATTTATACTTTCTGAACCTCAGCTTCCTTATTTGCATAGACAATACCTATTTCCTAGCATTAATGGGAGTATTAAATACTAGTAGGGACTTAATCATTGTCTTTTTCTCTTGTTCTTATTGACTGATAAGGAGGAATTTTGTTATAGCAAAAAAGCAGATTCCAGGCATTGCATGTGGCAACTGTCTTCTTTATTCTACAAAATCCCATTGCTGGAGGCTTTATTTCTCCCCATTTCACAGTGGGGCAATAGAAGTTTCCAGAACTTTCCCTATGTCACAGAGCTAGCTTCCAGCAGAGGAGGAATAACTCCAACCAGGTCATCAGACAGCCAGAGCCATGAATGTTCTACTGTATCTGTAGCTTCCAAAGCGACAAGTGACACAAGTGAAAAGATACCAACAAGAGGAATTTTCACAAGACAGGTTGAAAGTAGGCAACTACCAACAGGTGCCTAAATCCACATCATCTACTTGACGTGTTTTATGAAATTCTTCTGCATAAAGCTAATGCCACCATTTTCAAGATGACTAACTCAACTTTTGGTCACCTACTTGGAAGCTGAATGAACACCAAGAACTACACATCCATCCCTGCTCCAGTTTCCTTGTCTATAAAATGGAGATTCTGAACTATAAGCTCTCTGAAGTCACTACTGCCTCTAAAATAGTGAGGACATGGGCAAAATCATAAGGTTTTAGGACAGGGGCACTAAACCACCAATCTACCACCAGCTCTGCAGTGTGATGCCTTTTACAGCCAAAACCCTCTCACCCAGAGTTGTTTAATCGGGAAATCCTATAATAACAATATAACATTCTCAAACTCTTTCATTCAAAAGATATAAGCACACATTCATTGTCCAGTGTGATAGTTAACTGATTATATCAACTTGAGTAAGAAATGCCCAACTAAATTGGATCAGCATAGTTCTGGGTGTGGCTGAGGGGATTTCCTGAGGACAGAAGAACCATCCTAGGGCGGCTTGTTGCCTGAATGGTATTAAGGGGAAACAAAGAAGGAAGCTTAGCTTCTGTTTCTTCAAAGGAGCTCCAGTCTTCACCTTCACCTTGGATGTTGTCTCTTGGCTTCCAACATAGACCCATCAGCCTTCTACTGCAGACCCTTCAGCCTCCTGCTATGAACTTGCAAGAGACACTGCACTGAGTGTCAGGACTTCAACTGGATCCTTTGGCCCTCCAGTGCACAGACAGTCCTTTGGCACTGTTGCACACCTGACTCTGGATGGTCACTGTAAGCCAATCTTGTAAATTCTTATATATTTGTATATCATGCATTAAATCTGTTTCTTTAGCAAGCACTGACTGAAATACCTAGTTTCCCTGAGGTGGGTGCAATGCCTTTCTTCACTGTTAGGACAGGTAGAGAGAGAGCAGCAAGGAATTATAGAATTAAAACTATGTCCACAATGCATCATCTACCATTCCCTATTTCTTTTTGCATGCATGCCAGGCAAATGCCCTATCACTGACTTACATCCCCCAGCCCCATTTCTAATTTTAATGTCCTTAACATGGAAAGAGAATTTAAAATAGTTACAAATAAATCTAAACACAGAGTCTCTCTAGATTTCCAAGTTTTCCCTCAATCATTTATAGCTGTTTCTCCCACACTTAATTTGACAGCAACTTTTTAGTGACTCACCTCTACAGAGTCTTTTTAGAGTATTCAACAGTTTCCCTAGAAACAAGAACGGTTTTTCTTGTTATATTCCCATTTCAGCAGTTTAATTAAACAATAAGTCAGATCTTGTCATTTCTCTTCTCTGGCTCTTCCCATGGCTCATCCACCTTTCTGAAAGGACAAGCTAAAGTCTGTCCAAGGTTCAACACTGTCCCCTGCCCACATCTCTGACCTCCTCTCCTGCCAACCCCCACCAACAGGTCACACACTCCTGCTACTTGACCTCCAGATATTTCCTCAAATGACAAGCAAGCTCCTGCTTCAGATTAACACTTGCTGTTCCCCTCTTGGAACCCTCTTGCACCAGATAGCCACAAGACAAGCTCTTAGAATTACCTGTTCCAGGTGTTTGCACAAATGTCACCTTCTCAGTGAAGCCTTCCCTATGTCCCTAGTTAAAGAAGCCACCCTGGTCCCCCAGAGTCTTTTTTTATCCTCCAACCACTACATTGTGTATGTTTTTAACAGATTCCTATCTGACATTCTATATATTTTACTCACTAGAATTTGAACTTCAGGAGGATAGGAATTTTTATGTTTGCTAAAGCACTCCAGTAGCTAGAATAGCAGATCATTAGTTGTTGCTCAATAAATAAGCATTTAATAATAATCTTTGTTATTGTAATAAATTTATTATCTCTCTGATTGAACTGCAAAAATACCCTATTAAGTTTTCAGGCTTGAGGAGGGTTAGAAACAAAGGTAGAAGAGCCTTGGTAGGTAACAAAGCCACTTAGAGGGTTCAGGAGTGTACGGGTGCAGGGGTGTCCCCACTCAGTGTGAGCAGCCCCAATCCCTAGCATCAGCAAGGGCACAGAACAGAGTGGAGCAAGGCTTTCTGTTAGATGCAAGTTGGCTAAGCTCTCTCTCCTTTTCTTTGATCCAAAAACATGTTGCTTTCATATTCAAGTGTGCAAGCACACATAGCAAAGTCAAGTATGGTGGATGCCCTAACTACTCTTCTTCAGATAGAGATGGGACAGAAAGAAGACAGGTTATCTTGTTCTGGTCCATGACATTTAGTAAATTCTGCACCTCTCTCTCTCTCACACACACTTGTGGTTCTCCACTAAAATTGGGGAGGGTATAAAATAATTCACAGCCAGCTGAGTTCACTGGCCTATTATAAGTATCAGATGAATCAACAGTTACAAGAGTATATTGAAAAACCATGAAGAACTCCATACCCTAAGCAATTCTCTTTGCGTTAACACAGATTACTGTATCTACCCTTGCTCCTTAAAACTGATGATTTACCAGAGTACTTTGATTTTAAAGTGATTCCTAAAATGTATTAAAGAATGAACAGAAAGAAATATGTGGTTGTAAGGGCATGGAATGACAAAAAGAAGGAAAATGGTTTCTTCCTGATTCTTTAAGAGAAAAATATCAAGAAGAAACACTAGTCTACAAAGACCAGATTTAAGAATATTACCTCAAACATCTACTATTATCCAGACTGTCGGATAGTTCTGACAATACTCATCTATTTCAACACCACAAGGATAATCTGTGATGATTTATTAATATCACGTATGTCACTAGCAGGTTGTGATGTAAATGAGCAAACCCTTCCCAGTCATCTCAGCTCTGTTTTATTACAGCATTTATTAAACCAACATAAAAATGGTGCAGAATGACTTGTCACACCATTTATTAGAGTTGATGAAGTGTAGACAGTCTTTTCAATAAGGCTTTAACACACTGTTATGCACCATCGTACATTATTAATGAAAAGAAATGCACGAGACTTGCATCAGCTTTTCCCCCAAGTCATTCTGACATTAAATTCAAAATCAATTCTCCCCTATATGCCAGAGGGTCAGAGATAAAATGTTAATTTACCAAAACTTAAGTTGATAATTCTAAGAAACAATCAGGAATCTTCCCTGTTCTGCTGAATTTAATAATAATGTGTTTTTGGGTTTTTTTGAGAGGGATCAAGACAGGAAGCAATTGCAACAGGAATATAAACAAATTGTGTCCTAGTTTATATCTGACAAGAGGATGGGATCTAATTTTCTCTGAATGAAAGAACACAAAGGACAGCCACAGAATGCAAATTGTGTGCTGGGTATCTGAACTTCTCTTCTAATACCTGAGTTCCCGAATGGAACTAATTTCCTCTAGAAGAGGTATTAAGTAATTGAGGCTGATTGTGCCAGAATGAGGGATAATTCTCAAACTGTGAAGAAAAATAAACATATTTACAATGATAGGATCACCTCACTCACTCAATAACTTTAATCAAGCATTTTACATTCAAAAGAAATAAACCAAATATATTAAGAATGACCTACCGCCAACAACGAACCCTGATAGACACAAGCACCTGTGGGGAAAAACAAAGCAAGAATTAACATCATGCATAATAAACCAACAAGGCGCTGCCCCAGCAGGCTCGCTGCTAAAACTGCATCCCCACACGTCAACAGCAGCAAAGTGCTTTTTCCGAAAACTTAAAAAGCTCAAGCGTTCTTCCCTGGGGGGAAATAACCCCATACACCAAAACAATATTTCCTGGACACACATGAAGGAAGGCATCATTAGAACTTATTTAAATTTTAAAATAAATGCATTGATAATGGCATGCTATAAATACGAAGCATATTTTCCTTTGTGATAAGTCAGGAAAGCCTCTATAATCCAGTTCCAATTTACTGATCCAAGCAACTCTCCTACTCTATGCTTCTACAAATTCTCCAGTCCAACTCAAGAGGCCAGCTTAGAATCCCATGATAAGATTTCATGTTTAAATGGTTTTGATTCATTTCCTACAAGGGGCACTTGGTTTATTCACGAAACTTGAACTTGATCCTATCTCCTTCATGAAATGCTTCCAGGCCACAGGATTATGTTCTTCCTCCTTTGCGCTCATAACATCGTGAGCTGAAATCATTTATCTGTGAATTCACTCTTGCATAGTTCCTTGCGGCATCCTTGCTAAGCATGTGGAAATGTTGCATCTACCCTACAACACTATATAGATTCTCTTAGGAAAGGAAAAACTTCTTTGCACTCCCCATGTCTTCACATAGTAAGCATTTACTTAGGTATCTGGTTAACACCAAATACCTGTTTCCTGCCTTTAATGCAGTATGTTCCCCTTTGGAGAGACTAAGCCTTTTTGTTTTGTGTGTGTGTGTGTGTGTGTCTGTGTGTGTGTGTGTATGTGTGTGTGTGTGTGTGTGTGGTGTTTTACTGAAGAATGAACCCAGAGTCTTCACACTGAGCTACATCCCCAGACCTTTATTACTTTTTATTTTGAGGCAGGGTCTTACTAAGTCCCTAAGTTGCTCAGGCTGGGCTCAAAGTTGTGATCCTCCTCCCTCAGCCTCCCAGAGTGCTGGGATTACAGGCCTGCACCACCACTCCTGGCTATATTAAACCATTTATTAGAGCAGTATAAATGGTAGTTATTTGAGAAGAACTCTTCTATTGAGTTCCTGACCTCCAACACTTTTTTTCACTTCATTTTTTTCCTGATGGACTGCTTATGACGAGATGCACCATTAGGCAACAAATGGGGAAAAAAAATAGATGATCCGTTTCCAAATGGAAAAGAAGGTTGAATTTGACTGTACAATTCATATATTCTGAATAACTAACATATAATACAATAAATCTTTCAGTCTTATATTTTAAAACAACATAAAATTGCAATCCCAATTTTAATAAAGTACATGCCAACTCTTGACCAATTGCTGTTTTGATTTCACCTAGACACAAGTGTGTAGCATGCTACCATCTCTTCTTGGCATGGAGGCTACAAACCTAGCTGAAACCGCATATGCACACCAAGGCAGAAGCACATCTTGACAATGGGCCACAGTTGGTTTCCAAAGAGAGAAGGACATATTTTATTTACTATTGTGCTTGCCTCTAAGAGATCCTCCATTAAGTCTCAAAAAATTAACTCTCCAGGAAAGAAATGATCTACTTTCCCCACCAATAATGGAATTAAGAACGATATTTCCAGAAAATGACTATTTACACCTGGACTGGACCAAAGATCTCTGTGAGGAAATTTACTAAAATGACTCTCATGTCCTTGACATTCAAATAAGAATAACTTGAGATAAAGCCTTGAGGGAAAACTCTTCCTAATTGACTTATTTTTCCTTAAGAAATTTTGTTCCATAGACAATATTTCACTTTCAGTATGTCATAAGAAAAAAGGATATATGTGAAGATATAAAATAATCATATATCTCAAATCAATATATATCAAAATAATTCACTTTCTAAATTGCTTAAATGGATATTTAATTAGTTCTAATGTTTAAAATTATAATAAGATCATCATCACTTAGGTATACTTTAAGAAAATCTATTTTTCAGACCACTAATCTTTTAATGGCTAAACCATGAAAAATCTACCACACAGTAGTTTTTAATTGACATAAAGTTTTATGTATTTATCATGTACAACGTGGTGTTTTCCATATACATAATCTTTAGAATAAAAAAATTTAATTTTTAGGAAAAAACCCAATATTTACCCTTCAGAATAAGGCTATCATCTGATATAGTCACATATCGCAGAATAACGAAGACACTTTCTGATACATGTGTCATTAGGCAATTTCACTGTTGTGTGAGCATCACAGAGCACAGTTACACCAACTGAGAGGCCTCTGACATCACTAGGCAATATAATCTCCAGGACCAAGGTTTTGTATCTGGTTGGTTGTTGACCAAAACTTCATTTTGCAGCACATCATTAATTTTATTTCTCTTCTTCACAGTGTTAACTTGCAAGATCAATGACTTTTCAAAGTGCCCAAAGAAATCAGGCACCTGAAGAGGTAACCAGGCATCCACATCAAAACCCATTCTGGAAGTTGAGACGGACATTATAAAGTTTCCCTGCAACAGGAAAGCATAAAGCCTCACAGAGAGCAACATCACATCCATACTTGCTCAAGCGAAACATCTGCTACAAACTTAAGCCAAATGATGTGGCTGCTGATAAAGTCTATTATTAGGAAAGAGAAATAATTCAATTTGGGTTGTTCTACGTTGTACAATTCCAAAAGAATTAAGCTTTCCCTTCTGAGGGCTTTCCTAAAACAGAACACTTCTACCCGGAAGGCAGCTGCATTATGAGTCTCCATTAACACAGTTTCCAAAACCTCATTTCTACTCTCTTGAGAAAATAAAGCATTCCAGTGTGATGCCCAGTGCTATCAAACATTTATCACCACCCAAAGCCAGATACAGTTGTCCAGAGCAGGCATATTTCTCCCACACCATGGCAGGCTGCACACCCACCAGCAGATGAAGTCGGGAGTTTGTTGATACTGGGCGCTGGGTGCAGCTCCTGGTTCAGATGAGGGCAGAGGCCTTTTCACTAATCCACCATTCACATCATATGACAAACAAAGCTACTCCCTCCACTCATCTTTTTTTCTTAAGGTATACTAGAATAACTGCAGTCTATAGAAGGTTTACATTTATGGCTTTGGTTAAACTTCAAAGGAAATTCCATCTCAATGTGAGGTTTTTTGTGGGTTTTTTTCTGGCAGTGTTGGGGATTGAACCCAGAGCTTTGTGGATGCTGGGTTAATGCTCTACCACTGAGATATACTCTCAGCAGTAGCCATACAGTAAGATCTAGAAAAGGGAAACTGAGAAAAATAAGAACAAACAAGAGTTTTCAAACTAAGGACACTGCCAGTTTCAGGGCATGGAACACAACTGAAGTGTCAGCTAATTTAAGTCCTATACCCTGTGGCCTGTGAGAAAGGGGGGGTGCAGCTCTGCAGGGTGAAACAATTGCACAGGGTCAAGAAGGAAGCCAAGGTCCTGAGACCTGACAGCTCTTCTTCCTGCATGCTGGCTTCATTGCTTACAGGTCATATGGGCAAAATGTGTCAGTATAAAATTTAAACACATAGATGTCCGTTTTTGAAGCCTTTTTGTAGATTATAATGTACTCCTTTATGAAACACCTGTAAAAATGTTACTATTTTCAGGAAAATTTTAAGGTACAATTTGTACCAGTACTTATGTCGTGAAACTATTCACTATAGAAACTGTAACTGGTGAACTGACTGCATTAGAGAAGTTAAATCCAAGAGCCACAAAATGTCAGACCCATGCATTGAAAGAAATAGTGGCAAATAGAACCATAAAGATTTGAAAAGATTTGGAGAGCAGGGTATCACAAAAACATGACTCATCAGGACCAAGTTGGCATTTTAAATGTTCAAGCTTTATGTTGTGTTATAATTCAGCATATGGCCCTGCACACTCTGGAATAGTTAAAATAGAATTGTTTCCGGACTGACCCGACAGCTCTGTTAGCATTACTGTCAACAAGGATTCAGATCAATTCACAGAATAGTTAAAATGAAAATGGGCTGTTTTTGAACTGTTGTATTTGGCATAAGGCTCCAACTTTGCTATGTGGTAGTCCCCTTCCCTCTTCTGGGCCACTTGGTAGAGTACTTTATGACTACTTGCATATGAGCAAAGCTGAGTGGTACCACCCCAGCCTGGAATAGTCTGTATGAATGACTGCTTCCTCACCAAAGGATGTCTAATACCCAAATCCCAGAGGGGAATGAAAATACAATATATTTCAAACAAGAGCTTTTGACAATATATCACCTTTTTATTTCTATTAGAAAGTAATTTTAAAAGCCAAAAACAACATAGCTGCAATCAGTATCAATCAATTGGAATAGGTAACATTTCGATCTTGGGAAACCCAAAAAAGACCATCTCTACTGCTGGGATTTTTTTTTATATTGTGAGGTATGCAAATTCGGCTAGTAGGATAAGTTTTTTGTGTTGTTTGTTTTTTTTGTTTTTGATGTCCGTATCTTCCCACCAGGCATAGCACCAGGTACACAAGCCCTCGATAAAGGCTTGTAGAATGAAAGATGGGGAGAGAGGCTATTTCTCTTGGCCAATGTCTTTTCTTTAATATTCACTTTTAAGCACTGAGCTCCTCACCAGCCAAGAGCGGAACCAAAAATGCTGACCTACATATAAATAAAACACATTGTCTATAAAGTGATCCTTTCCAGTGTAAACTGCTAATGGCATTTATAGGAAAGGCCTGGGAGATTGTGGGATTGGCTTCAATCACAAGGCAATGACAGGACACTGACTGCAGTTCAATTATCTAATGTCTTTCACTAGCCCATGTCTATCCAGCCTCACAGGACTGCACATAGAAACACGATTCAAGGTGAGTGTCTCCATAAAATGTCATCAAGTTTCTCTGATTCAGAAACCACCTATGGTAGAAGTTTCCCTGTAACTTACTGATTTTATTAAGTCCCAAATCATAGTAGTTTATCAGTTTGGCAGTGTAGAACAATGTAAAGTAACAATGCCAACAATTTGCTAACAAAAATCTATTTTTATTTTAATAATTACAATAAAATTTTGAACATGAAAGTTGCAATTGATTACAAATAAGATGATTTCTTTTTTTCTACGCATGATGATAAACAAAAGTATTTTACAGCTATCACATAGGTGAATTCTTCATTTAAAAAGTGACAGAAGAGCCAGGGATTTAGCTCAGTGGTTAAGTAGTTTGTTCAAAGTCAATCAGATAATCATAAGGCTAGTCATAGGAGCTAGTCTACTAGTTAAGCTTAATTCAAAGGAGTGATTTGGTAATACTTGTTGATCCGACCAATATTTTTGAGCACTTACTATGTGTTAAGGGCTGAGCTGGAGATATAAAAATAACTAGGAACCATATATTATGGGTTGGATCTGAAATGTCTCCCCTGAGTCTCATGTGTTTGAGGGGTGGATGGATCATGAGGGTGCTACACTCATGGGTAGATTCATCCAGTGATGAGCTCAGTGGCTGAGTGTGCACTGGGGGTGTGAATTGGAAGGGTATACAGTATCTTCCTCCATCACACCTCCCTTCATGGCCACCATGCTGTGAACATGGCCAACCTGATGTGGGCAGCTTTCCTCTGCCAGACCCTTCCAGCAAGCCCTTCCTGCCTTGGAGCCAGCCACCTATGGATGGAAAACATGAGCCACAATAAACTTCTCCTCCTTTAATTTATTGGTGTCAGCATTGTGCTTCAGTGACAAGGAAAGTGACTAAGATCCTATCCTAATTCCTCAGTAAGTACATAGCAAAATCAAGAAGGATGCACTTTTTTCAGCTATAATTAGGGAAGGTATTAAAGGGGATACTGGAAACATGCATGACATGATCTCTGAGCACTGGGAAGAAAATAACAAATTCTTCCATGAGCTGCCATACAAAAGCATCAGAGTGTATCTCACTAAGAGAAGCACATGCGAATGTTTCTTCTCCAATGTTTTTTTTTCTTTGGTACCAGGGATCAAACTTGGGACCCTTGTGCTTGCAAGGCAGGCACCAGAACCACTGAGCTAAATCTCTGGCCCTCTTTTCCAATTTTCAAAATCATTCCATAGGGCCAGGGATTTAGCTCAGTGGTGCTGTGACTGCCTCACAAGTGCAAGGTCCTAAGTTCAATCCCTGGTACAAAAAAAAACATTATTCCATAATGATTAATAATAAAAACTTGAGGAACTTTCTAAAATCCTTAGGCTTTCTATCATTGACCTCAGTGCTCTTAATTTTAAAAGAATGAAACCAAAGATCTCATCAGATGACAACTGATATTTTGTCTGTGGGACTGAGATCATTTACTTAAATTGAGATAAAACATGTAAAGTGCTTAACATAGTGTTAGGCAAAATAATACAAGGGATGATCAAAAAATATGGTGAATGTTAAAAATCTTTTTCCGAAAATACATTACAATAAAAGACACATTGTCATTAATTAATCCCCATCTAATTACCCCCCCCCATTCCAACACTCTTGTCCCATTGTTCCTGCCACTTTCCAAAGCAGTTCTGGAAGTCCTCTTTTGTGTCTTTACTCAAACATATAGTGAATGTAAATCCCAAATGCTAGACAACGGAAAGGCAGGCATGTAAAAATATTATGGTGTGTCCTCATCCACCTTATTCATTTTATCTGCACTATGTGACTTTTGGCTCTTCCCAAAGTCAAAATGACCTTGAAAGATAAACATTTTGAACTGATTCAGAACATCGAGGCAGCCATCTAGATTGTGGGACTAAAGACACTTATGAAAGAAGACTTCCAGGACTGCTGCAGAAACTGGCAGGAACAATGGGACAAGTGTGTTGGGGGGGGGGCTCATGGCGATGTGTCTTTTATTGTAAAACTTTTTTTATTTAAACATACACATTTTTTGATCACAACTCATATGTGCTCAGTAGATGTTTACATTCATTATTAGATAAACATACTAACTTGGATGGAAACTCGTAGACACCTAGCAATGTAGGAGCAATCCAATTTATAAAGCTACAGAAAGCTTAAGGGCAGGAGAGAGATCTTTGAAGAATCTTTGAAGGAGTATCACTAACTTCCATCAAAAGATTCTGGCAGTTCTTAAATTGTGCCCATTGTATTGACCAAACTTTCAAACAGCGCACCCTATAGGCCCTTAGTAATAATGGCTTTCGTCATTTCATGAGATGAGGTTCTAAGAAACTGAATCATTCCAACTGCCCCCTGGTGAGCAATCCAGGAGTGTAGCACATTTTCTGGGATAAGATTCTAAATAAGAAACTGCCACGACGTGAAATTGTCGTTTATCTAAGCTCTTAGCTGAGGTTTGGGTGCCCTGGGCTGACTCTCCCATCTGGTTAATTATAATCAAACCTTGCAGGTTTTTTTTTTTTAAGTATGCATACAAGCTCACATACACGACCAACTTCACAGGTTGGGAGAAGGGTGTGCAGGCCAGGAGCATGGTTCTCGGGGACAGCACACGCGCTTCATACTTCCCAGCAGGATGCAAGAAGCCACAACTTCACCAGCAGGAAAGGATTCGAGGCTGTGCGCGCATTTCCACTCCAGGCCCGTTCCCCCTTCACTGCGAGTGAAGAGAAGGCGCCACGCCGGGGGCTGGAAGCCGACCCAAGGTTGGGCTCGTCCTCCTGCGACCTCCATTGCCCCTGCCCCCGCCGAGGCGCTGCTCTGCAGCCGAGCCGGTGAACCCTCTCCCCGCAGCCAGATGAATAATGAATGGAGAGGGAGGGGAAGGGGGAGCCCAGAGCTGAGGACTAAGTCGTTTCTCCCACACTTCGACTCCCTCCCCCTCCTGAAGCACTAACCCGGCCACTTTCCCGGCTCCTCCGATCAGGTGGGAGCTCCCAGCGCCTGGTGCCCCCCGGCCTGGCAGGCATCTCGTGACCCCACACTGTCTCGGTTTCCTTATTGATCCATTTGTTTGGCTGAGCCTAAATTGTGTTTAATATCATGGCGACAACTCTCATCGTCTTCTTTCCCGTCCTCAGCTCTCGGGTTTTACAAGTAGGTCGGAGTCAGGGAGGAAAAGCGGGAGGCGGAGGGCGAAGTAAGATAATGAACCCAAACTCTCACTAACCACTGTTTTTCCTGGGGAGAAGGCAGGCTCGCGCTTTTCGGTAGGGGAGATTTATTTTAGGGCAAGTGCCTACGTCCAGAACCCGCTTTGACCCGCTAGTTATAAAATCTTAACTGGACTTTAGAGGGAGACTTACAGGCACGGGCCGGGTGAGAGAGGAGGGAGATTTAAGGTGTAGAATTTCATGTTTCACAGGAGCAGAAGTGTGTTCACCCAGGTAGGAGCAATGGCTCGCTCCTCATCTCCGCTCCGAGTAGTTGCTTCTCCTCTGGCGGCAGGGGGATGTGGAAAGAAAGGGACTCCAGTCTCCCGAGGCCACCCACACACCCAAACGCACTTAAGGGGAAAAGGGAGGCCGTGGCAGCGGTGCAAATCAATCAGTAGCAGCAATCTATTGAGGAAAAAGCCCACTCCCTCCCTAAACAAAAAACTCTCGCCTCCCGCCCCAAACAAAAAACAAAAACTTCCACACGAAGCACAGCGCCATAAAATCCTCTGCGCAGTTTAAACTGCACGAACACACACACACACACACACACACACACACACACACACACACACACACACACGTCGCCGCTGCTTTACCTTCGGAATGAAGAGGTAGTACTGCAAATTCCGCCAGCGCTAAGGCCACCCCTAGCCACATTTTGAGGGCATCCATCGCTGTCTCGGCTCTCGCGCAGGGGGAGCGCAGCCTTCCGCATCCAAGGATCCGATCTCGGCCACGCCGCGGGGCTTCGGTGCCGAGAGCTGGGGCGCAGCGCAGAGCAGCGCAGAGCAGCGCAGCGCGCGGGGACCTCGGCGGGAGGAGGACGAGGCGCTGGGCCACCCGGGGCGCCGCGGGGGTTCAGGGTACTCCTGGACCGGGCGGGCGCTCACCAGCTCTGCAGAACCGCCGGACAGCGCGGGCTGAGCTGGGAAACAAGAAGCAGACACGGCGATCTCCGTGACCAAGTGTCGCCGGAAAGTTGCCGGTCACCGGCGGCACTGCGCGCTCCCAGGGCTCCAACCGCGCTCAGCCCCTCCCGCGGGGTCCTCGGAACCGCGCTCTGAAGTTAGGCAGATCTGCTCGGTCCGCACAGGGTCACCAGAGAGAGTCACAGGCAAAGAGCTGCCCACACCCACTTCTGGGGTCGGCCACCTAGCGCTCCGCAGCCCGGGGCTGGAAACTTTGCGCCTCGCCGCGGCGGCTCCACGCCTCGCCCGCGCTCTCTGCAGCAGACTGGGGCCAGGCAGAGGAGGCTGAGGGAGCGCGGCCCGCCCCACTCCACGCCCACCGCACCCTTCGCACCCCGGAGCTGCTCCGCAGGGCTGAGGTGGAGGAGTAGCCACAGTGTGAGTGAGGTGCACGGCAAAGAGCGAGAGGCTGGAAAAGACCCCTGAACTCAGCACTATCCGGGCAAGCGAGCCCGGAAACGCACCGAAGTCCACGTCTGGATCCCAGCATTTAAAGGACACACGCTCCGCCTTTTTCCGCCTCCCTCGCCTCCTTCCTCTCCCCTTGCTCTGTGTGAAAATGGACCCGGGGACTCTGAGCAAAGACTCCAGAGTCACGTGGGTAAGAGACGCGGGGAGGAGGGAGCGGAGGCCGAGAAGAGCAACCTGATCCCCTTATTCCTGCGGCTGGAGTTCAGCTTGGCTTTGTCTGGGGCGAGACCCAAAGTGGAGGGAGGGGAGGGGTGAAGCAGGTGGGGTGGTCCTCACCCAGGCACAGCTGAGGCCCTTGACTTGGGTCCACACCGCTCACCCGAGGAGGAGCCGATTGGGTGACCAGGGGGTGCCCACATCCAAACCCTAGCGCATACCCTCTCCCCATCACCCGCCACTCCTGCGGGGCCCTCCTCTCTCACTCTGGGACCCGCAGCCTGGGAGGATGCTGAAACTTCCCACCTCAGACGCACCTTTACCTCTCCAGACGTGCGCTGGAGTGGATGCCACATCGTTTGGGCCAGGCGGGTCCGCCTGCGCCCCCAAACGCCAAAGACCCGGGCTCGCACTTGGAAAGCAAAGGCCTTGATTCCCAGCCTAGACTGACAGATAGCAGCTATTTTTATAGAACCAAATAAAAATAGCTGGGCCAGGCTCAATCATTTTATAAGATGGGAAAGGTTGCATCGGAGAGATGCTGTCTGAGTTCCAAATTGCTCAGCGAAGAGATGTCCTGGTTCCCTCAGCTGAGCGGTGTGGGCCAGACTGTCAGAGCGGAGTCTGTAGTAGCCTTGACCACCTTAAGACTGCAGGGGTCCCAGTTGTATCCTGGCTTCAAGAACACGGTAAAACAGGCCCACGTTCTAAAACACGTGGAAGCCACTTGGAAGATTTGCTTTTCGTTGTAAATTGAAACTGCCAGGTCCCTGTGAGTATTACCATTTAGCCAGAATGGACAGGGACCCTCTGATAATCTGTCTATAATTCTTGAGCCAGGAATCATGCGAGTGGACCTCAGTTTCCCCATTGGGCTGTGGTGATCCTAGGGACAGAGACTTTCTCATTTCTGTATCTCAAGCACAGGTAGGGGCTCTGTACATATTTGCTGAGAGAATAGACTGAATAAAAAATAAGTCCCTCCAAGCAGTAGCTGCAGCAAGCTGGGCTGGGGGCCTTAACTTGCTCCCAAATAAGGGACCTTCTCCTTTCTTAGAAAGTGGACATTTTCTCAGGCCCGTGTGAAGTTCTCTGCAAACTCAGCTTGGAACACACACTGACAAACCAGATTGCTGCCCCTGTCCCCCTCCTATATAGCAGTTTTGTAGTCACCACTAACTAGGAGTAACAAAAAAATTTATTCTGGCCAGAATCCACACTTTGGTTTTATTTATAAAAATTCTCACAATTATAGCACCCAAAAGGCTCTCAATAAGACATCTGTTATACTTGGGAAATGCAAATGGGCTATCCTTTTTTTAAAGGAAGAGATGAAAGAAGGAAGGAAGGAGGGAGAATGAATTCAACATGTGCTATATTTATTGGGTGTATGTACATTACCTCTGCCAGCAGCCCACCACAGGACATTCACTGGCCAGCTGACACTGGTCCTCCCTCTATACAAATTAGGTAAGACAGCAGGTAGTCCCAGAGAATCCCTGCCTCAAGATCACCTGGATGACCCAAAGGCATATCTGATACCTATGGTCGCTGAAACTGAAATGTTCAAAGAAATTATATTAGCATAACTTAGTATAAGCATTGTTATGGATATGCAAGTATGACTGTTCTGAATGGATTAAGAAATGCTTAGCAGATTAGTGGGACACAGTTCTGGGTGTGTCTGTGAGTGATTGACATCTAGGCCATCAAAGACCCACCCAGGATGTGGGTGGCACCAACCAATAGGCTTGTGGCCTGGAAAGAATACAAAGGGAAAGAGGAAGGAAGTGTTCCCATGTTTGGAAGACCTCCAGTCTTCACTATCCTCTTTGACATCAGTCTCCCATTTCTTTAGCCTCTGATGAAGACTCAGTGGTGACTCTACAGTGAGCTTGACTGGTGCTGCATCTTTGATCCCTCTTGTTCTATGGCTTCCATCATCTTGAGCTAAGCAGCTGCAAGATCAGCCTGCAAGTGGCCACTTTGGATTCTTCCACCTCTGATCCCACACACAGCCATCGTGGACTCTCCAGACTCTGATCCTCTAAACCTACCTAGTAAATCCCCTTGCATATTTAGATATATATTTTCTATTGATTCCATTCCTCTAGGAAGCAGTGATTAATACAGTAAGTATTCATAAATAGCTTATCTCTATAAGATAACCTCTACAAATGAGTGCTTCATTCAAACAACAAGTGCTTCTCTGACAGGAAGCTACAGTTCATTACCCAGAGACGTTTGGGTCTATATCCTCAGTCCTCTTTCTACACATGTGCAGATTCTACAACTTCTGTTACTGTGCCCAGCAACATCTGCCCAAATCTGCCCTGCTCTGATCTCTTTGCATGTAATTGCCCTGTTGCTATTCATATTGGGAGATTTATTTATAGACTTCCCTGTAAATGATAATGATAACAGTGAATAGATATTGAATTCCTTGGGACTAATGCCATAAAGTTTCCCAGATAATCTTCCAGTAACTCTGGAAGATAGATACTATTATCATTTGCATTGTCCAGTAAAATAACTGATGTTCAGTAAGTTAAAATTTCCAAAGTCAGACAGCGAACACATGACAGCACATTAAGAGCAAGCAACTGAAATGAGTGCAGGGGCACCACCTGTAATCGCAGCTCTTGGGAGATTGAGGAAGGAGATTCACAAGCCTGAGGCCATCCTGGGCTACAGAGTGAGAGCCTGCCTCAACAAAAATAAATAAAAGCAAGCAACTCTAGCTACTATAATAGCTGAAACCGCAAATCACAATATTTTAACACAAGTTTATTCCTCAGTCACGTCCTAGCCTCTGGGCATTGATGGCCCCCGCACACCGGCCTTGGGCACTGGTGACACATTTTTATACCTAGGCCATCATGAAACTCGTAATATCTACTACCTCTACATCAGAGTAACAAAGGAGGCAATCCAACGCATAAGGACCTTGGAATTCCTCTCATAGTCCAGTGACAAGAATGAGTTGCATGGCCTTACCCTGCTATGAGGGAGGACAGGACACACAGGGGAACATGTGAAAATTGAAGCTCTGCTGCTTCAGTCCAAAGCCCATGCTCTTATCTTACCTGTCCTTAGCTACAATATCAGCAAAACTCCAATTGGACCTTTCTTGCTGCCCCTCAGGTTTTGATGATCTTTGCTACATTGCTCTACTGGTTCTCTAGTCTATCTTTATTCTGTTTTTCCTTCCCTCCACTTTACTCTCCTTTCTCTTTTTTCCCTTCTGGTTGTGTCTTCTTCCTATGTAACCTCACTCTGGGTACGGAATCTTCTATCACTCATCTTGTGGATGTGGCTTCTCCATCCTCCTTTTTGCAATTTACATACGTTCTTCTGGCTTGTCAGTCTCACTCTGTAATGATATTTGTTGCTTTTCAGGCTTCAAATACTTATATTAAAAAAGAATATTCACATATGTGAGTATAAACTGATAGGCTTTGCTATAATATAACTTCTCCACAAGGGTAACCACAGCATGTACATTCAAATATTTTTGTCTGCTTAACTAAAGATAATTCTTTTTGCAAAGTTAGGGTAATAGTTTAGATGATATTTTGTAATCTGAATTTTTCTCCCACTGAATAATATGATATCCTGAGTTTGTAAGACACATCATATTGATCAAACTCAGTATATTTAAGAGCTATGTGGATTTACATTGCATGAGTATATCCTTAGATATTTTGCCAATCCTCTTTTGAAGACATAGGTTGTTTCTTTTCTGCCATTATTAATAAAACCTACACAGACTTATGAACATCCTTTGTATGTATTTCACCCAGCTCATTTTGTTATGTATCATTTAATCTTTGCAAATCTCAAAAGGTAAATAGCTCTTTGCTCAACACTACTTATTAGCTATGTCCTCAGGCATATTAAATCCCCCGAGGCTCAATATCCCCATCTATTAAATGCACATTATGAAGTTGTCTACCTTACAAGACTTGTGTTTGTATTAAATAAGATAAAAGTACTTCACTCAAGTTACACATAGAACATGTTAACCAAATAAAATACAGGTATCTTATAAATTTGCATTGTTTTGCTCATTAGTGAGATGAAACACCTTTTCTTATATTTAATTGCATTTCTTTGCAATTATCTAGATGGCTGTTTATACCTTTCTATGTATAATACTTAGAGTTCTTCATATAGTCAGTATATTAATGCTTTTCTATGAATTTAGATAATATTTTTCAGAAAGGAATTGATTTAATGTTTACTTTTGTGGAAAATAAGTTTCTTTGGCAGTGTCAGTGGAAACACATACATGATTAAAACCAAGAAAAAAAGGCTTTATACCTAAGACTTTTTCCTAGGAATTAAATAAGCAAAAGCCCCAAGTTTTAAAAA